GTAAGCAAAGTATGTTGGGCAAAGAATGCTCAATGACACATGTCGCAAAGACAGCTATGTACCATGTCCCCTAACTTCTCAAAGATTAGTCTAGTCATATTTAAATTTGAAGCAGTGTTACATATGTGTTTGTTTGAGTTAAATCCCATAGTACCGAAGGAATGGGATGGTTGACATGGGGGAAGGACAGAGAAGGAGAGCAAGGAAAGAGATATCTTGGTTGAGGGAGCCATTATGCGGGTAGTGTGAAGCCTGTCACCTCAAAAATTCCCAGGAATCCACAATGATGACCCCAGCTAAGACCCTAAGCAATAACGGAGAGGGTCTCTGAATAGTCCTTTCCCTGTAATCAGATTGATGACTACCTTAATTGTCATCATAGAACCTTCATCCAGTATCTGATGGAAGCAGATGAAGAGAGTCACAGCTAAGCACCAGTCAAAAAGAGGGAGGAACAATAATATGAGTGTCAAAACCATGAGGAGGATACACACAGAAACAACTGACCTGAGCTAGCTGGAGCTTGCGACTCCTGACTGACAGCAGAGAAACCTGCATATGGTCAAACTAGGTCTTCTGAATGTGGCTGACAGTTGTGTGCCTGGGGCAGTCTGTGGGGCCTGGTAATGGGACCAGGATTTATCGCTAGTGGTTAAACTGGCTTTTTGGAGCCCCTTCTTTTTGGAAGGATTTCCTGCTCAGCCTAAATATAGTGGAAAGTTCATTGATTCTGTCTCAAAATGATGTGTAAGACTTTATTGACTCCCACTGAAAAGCCTTATCTTCTCTGAGGAGTGGATGGAGGGTGGGGTGGAGGGAAGATGGGAGGAGCAGAAGGAGAGAAGAGAACGGGAACTGGGATAGTTGTGTAAAATGAGAAAAAATTATTTTTAAGAAATAAATTGAAGAAAATAGTAAGTAAAAATAAATAAATAAATCCCATATTACAGCATAAGGTAATTATTATTTACTTACTCTAACTATAAAAATATTTATTCCATCTTTCACTTGACCTGTATGTATTTAGTCAGAAACACCTGAGATGCAAATAACTGTAATGAGATTTTTCAGTAATGCATGGTACCTTTATTTTTACAGACGTTATATCTAATGTAACTCTAACATTTATTAATAAGAGTCAGTTATCTTTTGAGAAATTTCTGGAAATAATTTCAGACAATATAGTAAGAAAGCTCAAAGCTTTTCTTTCCTCTACCAATTGATTAAAGGACCAAGGATCTGTTTGTGTCTTTCTTACTTTACTCTAATATGATTTTACAACTGACTGTGAGCACAGTGGGGTGTGCGACTGCCTTGAACTCACTCACGTGTATGACACTTTTCTTCATGCTCCTCCACCTGCCTCTCTCATGCCCCTTTGTTTGACTGTCCATAGCATTCATTCACTGCCTTTCATCTCTTACTTTTCTATAGCGATCTTTTTGCTCTGAATCCTAAAGTTTAGGTATTACTTACTTCATTTTCATGTTAAAGGAAAGGAAACTGTGGTTTTAAAACAGGTGGTTTTTAAAAATAAATCTTCAATAAAAAAATTTCTGTTCTTATAAGTTACTAAAATAGTTATAAGTATAGGTGACTTTTTGGTATTTTATCAGATCTCCCCAAATCCTTCTGTTTTTCTGATAATTGTTTGTCCTATTTCACAGCAGGTTAAAACCTTCATAGTCAGTTATAGTGCAAACATCAGGTTACTCTTTTGTTAGTACATTCTTCTGGGTCATACACTATCCCATAGAAGTTTCTTATTTGAAATATAAAACTAATCAAGTATTTCCTCACAAGTGATATTAAACTAATATTTGACACGTTTATTGTTATAAAATCAAACAAAATTTTAAATCATATTTAAAGACAATTATAGCACTATTTTCTGAAAATATTTTCGTAGACAAGTATTTAAAATGTGACATCATATATTCACTAGTATATTCCTATCATGCCAATAAAAATCTACTTTTTATGATGATGAGATTTTGACATTTAAAAGTGGAGAAAGATACATATCATAAAGGGAAATCAGATATTTAACCCTCCCCCACCCCACCCCCCAAAAAAGCCCAAGTTCTTCAGTATTCTAAGGTAAATAAAAATGTATTACTCTCCTAGCAGAAGTGCTGGAGGAAACTGGCTCTCTGGACTTTCCTGGCAAAATGTACCAACCAGACTGACCATGAATATGTCTTGGTAGAAAATTGAAATTATTATTGTCTCGTTTCTGTATCTCTTTTCCAAGAAAAAGTCAAGCTCTCCAAAGTAATATTTCTAAGAAACACGTGTTAATAATAGTAGATTAGTTCTGCTGAAGAAAGAGGTTTGATGAGATTATTATTCATCATAATGCAATCTGATTCTATTTGAGAATATCCAGAAAGGAAGTTGAAAATGGAGAGTGTGTTTCTTCCATTTTAACTAAATTTAGTTTGAATTGAAATGTGACTTTTGAAAACTAGGTTGGGTTTTGTTGTTGTTGTTTTGTTTTGTTTTGTTTTCAAAAATTTTTGAGCTATTATCACTCTCCACACATCTTCTTTTCCAGTGAAATTTTTCCAAATGTAGACTGAAAAATAACCTTCATTTCCTGAATAGCAGTCAGAATACTCTTTCTTTTCACCTAATGAAGAATTATTCCTAGAGCTGAAGAGTATCACACAATGTCTCATGAGAAAGCTATTAGTATAAGACCTGTGCACATTTTCCCATAGAAACTTAATGTCAAGCATTAATACAGAAATCCTTTTTATAATCAGTCTTACATCTCCCTTCTGCTCTGATGAAGGTTGGATGGCTGGGTCATGAAAAAAAAATGAACTAGGTTTTAGAAGAAAAAAGATGATCTAATTTCTCTTTGTTTTTTTTTCTTCCTCTTTAAGAAGTGGAACCAACAGGCAGTGAAAAGATTGATGATGAGAATAGGGCTGAGTTTGAATGTGGAACTCTGAAAAATGTAAATTTTTTAGAGGATTTTATCCATGCAGAGCCATCAGGTTCTTTGAATGTGCCACCAATTTTGCTTCAGCAAATGCTACTTTGCTGTTATGCATTCCTTTATTCATTTATTTCACACTGGTTTAAGAAGGCTCTTAAATATGTAGCTGAGACCAGGCATATGAAAAGGAAAAAAATAGCAATATTAAAAATATATTGAAGAACTGCACAAGGAAGATGATTTGCAAGGCTGCTAAGGAGCATGATTTTCTTTCCAGACTATTACACTCTGACTGGTTGAGATTTATTGGTTACCAATATTTTCTTAAGCTGATGTTTTCTCTGTCTTTCATAAAATACCAATGGAAGATTTTAAGGAACAAAAATGAGGTTATGATTTAAATTTTATTTTTAGTGAATTTTAAGAGCACATACTCATTATACACAATGATGAATTTTATGGATCTCTTGGACAAGTATATCAAGTAACTCTATTATCTTTACTCTTCTTCTCCTTGGTCTGTAGGCACTTCCTATTAATCCATTTTCCCTCATATCTTTTCTTTATCTACACGCCCACTTTACATTCATGTATGCTCTTGTCTTCTTCTGTAATATCTAAGCTCTATACATAAGAGAGAACATTTGATATTTGTCCTGTTGCATCATATATTTTATCTAATAACATTTTCTCTAGTTGCATTTCCAGCAAATGGCCTGATTTTATTCCACTTCCTAACTAAACAAAGGACCATTTTATATAGACAGCATCTTTTCTCTAGCCGTTCATATCTTGGAATTCAGTAGGATCTTTCTGTTTCTACCCCTGTCTCATTCTGCCTTCACATCAGGGCATCGTGTATTAGATGACATCTAATGTCATCATGTATTAGACAACATAGCCATCCTGTATCTGCAGTGGATAATACAAGCATGCAGAAAGTCATGGAAGGAAACTGACTCTGAATAGCAGCTGACCTAACATCTCATCTAATCCTACATTTTTTAAAGACTGTTACTTGTTTTTCTTAGCTTGCAGTTGTAGCTAAAAACTTTCCAAACAATTATATAATGATTTTAAAATTATTTGTAGATTGGACTACAGAGAGATACTCTAGTAGATACTAAAAGAAAGATGCTATTTATGTGTTTAATTTCATTAAAGTAACTTTTCTTATGAGGGACTATCTTAATTTTTCCAAATAACTTAAATGTATCTGAAGGAATATCTTTATATGTAATTATACACTGTTCCTGTGAATACTTCAGTTAATCAGTATTAATTATAGAAAAAACAATCAAGTAAAAAAGTAGTCTTTGTAGATGTTTGTCTCATTTCCAGTTTCCTGTGCCAAACAGAAATGATATGATATCTTGTTTTGTGATAGTCTTAATTATTGACCAATCTATTGATAATATTTCATATGGGAGAGAATATTTTGCAAAAGAACATTAATCTTAATTTTTGCCTTAAACTCATTACTAATGTGTGGGCTCTAGTAAATCTTAAATTGAATAAGTCCTAAGGAAGGCACATTTGAAAGTTTGTATCAAAAATCATGAGTTTTCAGAATCTGTGTTCATGGAATTATATTTTGGGGCATTTACTTTAATAACTAATCAAAGATAAAATAAAATAACAAGAGTTCTATTAGATAATATTAATTAGTTCATATTCTGTTATATTATATTATCATTAAATAAAACAAAACAAAAATTATCTTTCAAAATTTAATACATAATGTTAAACCAAAGTAGCAGATTATGAACTCTTACAAGTGATGTTATCATAAATCCAAGGTAAAGTCACACATACTAAAAATATCTCTATCAAAATTTTGAAGGTGTGTCTATTGGAATTATTTTTAATTTTGGTCTGTACTTTTCAACCTTTTGTGCTAAAATCAAGGTAAATGAACCAATGAAAATATTTTTAAGAGCATACTGGCTCATAATATGATTCTAGTGTTGAAAACAAGTTGAACAATGCCTAGAAAGTGGCTAACGTTTTTAAAAGCAAATTAATGGTTAATTTTGTTTCCTACACAGAAATTCTAAATGGTGGAGTCTATGTAGACCAGAACAAATTCCTGTGTTATGCTGACACCATACACTGGCAAGATATTGTTCGGAATCCATGGCCTTCCAACATGACTTTGGTGTCAACAAACGGAAGCTCCGGTTGTAAGTAGCACTACCCCATCATTAGTTTTTTTTAAAACAAAAAAACGTTTGTGTGTGTGTGTGTGTGTGTGTGTGTGTGTGTGTGTGTGTGTGTGCGTGCGCACGTGCGCATGTATGGAGTCAGGGGACAACTTGTGGGAATTTCTTTACTTCTTCTAGAATTTAATAGCATTGCTAGAGTTTAATAGTCATTAATCTCTATCCTCTATCTGCTCACCATCTCAACGGTCCACATCATCCTCTCTCATGTCTTGATATTTTTGTACTTTGTGTTATATTGAACAACTTATTCAGCATGCCACTGATGATATTTTGGCACTAACTCCATTCAACACTCGTTCTTGTAGTTACTCTATTTTAAAGCTCTTAAACCTGATTTCTCACTAATGCCCTATTGGTAATACTTGACTGTAGTGTTGTATGCCTTTAATCCCAGCACTCAGGAGGCAGAGGCAGACCAATCTCTGAGACCAAGGTCAACCTGTTCTAGGGGGTTCCAGAACAGCCAGGGATCCACAAAGAAACTATCTCTAAAAGCAAAACTTAAACAAACAGGTCAGTAATTTCCAATAAAGCAGCATGAGTCATTATACAGTTCATATACAAAGACTTCTTAGTTTGTAATCAGAAATAAACTACCCAGTTCTCTGTTTCTTAAAGGCATAGGACATTTCTGCCAGAGAGGACCTTTTAGATAAATAGTATTGAATATGATGAAATGATAAGCAAATAGTATCTGAACTATCATTAAAATCTCTGCCAATGATTATGTCTGGAATCTCTTTTGTTTTTATAAAGCAGGCTTTGCTGTCACACCTTTATTATTGCTGACATCTGTATGAGAGCTGAATCTTTATCGAGTATTAACCTGGGTTTTAAATTTCTTAATCTATTATTACATATTTCCCACCTGAAATCATAACTCTCTCCACATAATTCCATAATTATTTGCAATAGTGATGATTGTGTTATGACGCTTTTATGGAAATCAAACTCCAAGGGACAATTATTAAATTTCATGATGGCCATAATAACATAATGGGGAAATATGAATGTATTTGATCAAAACTGACAGTTTTATTTTTAATAAAAGGCTAAAACAGTTTTTTGTGAAAGTAGAGTAACATAATTTTCTTGTCACCCTTAAAAAGAAATTTGTATGAGATTCTGTCTTTGTAGTTTTCAAGTTACTACCAGGTAAAATTTCGTGTGCACTTTTTTTTAATCTGCTTGTGCTAACAATGAAAAAGATGTGATTTAGAAATGGCTACTGTTTTCAGGTGGCCATAATAAAGGAATATATTATGGGGCAGGGATTGTTTGGTTGGATGAGGGAAAGGTCTGCTGGTTCTCAGCTTCTTAGAAAGACTAGCCTTAAAGCACATATGAGATCATACAAGAAAAAAGTCTGAGCCAAAAGCTTGAGGGAAATCTGCTCTCCTCTTACAGGGCTTGAAGCAGGAAAGGTCTGTGGGGTTTGTCCATTTTCACAGATGGTATCGCTTTGTGCTGTTCTTTTGAGGGCTAATTTGGATGGTTGTGCCTATAATTAGGCAACTGTGACTGTGTTTTTTTTGTTTTGCATGCAAAAATTTCAGATGCAAAAATTAAAAATGCAGACTGGACTTATAATCAATGGTCCTTTACAGATTAGCCATCTATTGTTGTCAAAATGTTATTGCTTACACAGTTCTAGATGGTAAATCATTCAATCTACTATATGATATAATATCTGACAATAATGAATTGACTATTTTTAAATACTAGTTTTCAATGATTTTATTTTTCTAACAGGAAAAACCAGTGCAGAAAAGATAAACACTAAATGACCACTCCAATATTGAATGCACTGAGTTAGTCCACTTGCAATAATCATCCTTGAAGTAACTAAATATAAAGTGTAGCTTTTCAGGGTCTAAGCGGAAATGAAGCTACAGCTTAGTATGCACGTAGCTGCAGCTTTATTAGAGGAAAGCTTTCTGAAGCGTCAGTACACAAAGGTGGGAAGAAACTCAATACCACTGATGTACAAAATTTAAAAGTTAAAATCACAAATTTTGTAATATCTTTTTCATCATAATTAGGAATAAATAAATCAATAAATGTATTTATTATTTTTATTGAAAATAGATTCTTCTCATACAGACCACAATTTACCCTTCTCCAATCCTCCCATCTCAAAAGCTACTAAGTATGCAAAATGTATTATGAATATAATCTGTCATTTTTGTTTTTCACAATATAATTGTCACTACTATGTCATTTAGTTCATATGTTAATTTATAAAACTAATACTTTCAATAGGTGGTGAGTGGAGAATATATCTATTCATGTTCAAAAGCTTCTCAACTTTCTGTCACATAATTATCAGAATCTGGTGAATCCTTATTTGTCCTGTGTGCTTACTTATTTTTCTTATTACCAGTCCCAGCAACGTGCATGTTAAATTTCTTTTCAGTAAAGAACGACCACAACTGTGTCCTGAAACTCTGTCATTGTGACTAACATTAAGCAAAACCAAATAGCTTAGTATTTTCGGTAAATTTACGTCCATCTTACAGCTTAATGAGCTGAGCTTTGTAGTTTATAGATAGTTCCTTTCTTCTGCTGCTTGACATAAGAAATCTTAACCATATTGTAAGATATTTATCTGGATCATATTCCAAAAAATTTTGTCTTCCTGAATTCCATTCTAGAGATGCAGGGAGAATTCAGCATATGTTAATCAATAAATTTGCCCTTCTCAGAAATCGCCTCAAAGGAAAAATCATGTGATCTCACATCCCTTCCCAATAAAAGACTAAAAGACAAATGAGGTAATACACAGTAACGAAATTAAGGATATATATATATATATATCCTTATTATATATATACATATATATATATATAGCAAAACTATAGTGAACATCATGCTAAATGTGGAAAAACTCAAAGTGTATTGATATTCTGTTTGTGCTCTAACAAATAAACCTTAAATATCAGAGGGCTGAGCTAGACAATAGTTCACCATAGAGATCTAGAGATATGAGTTATCCCAAAAAATTATTAAAAATATTGCACAAAATGTATCCTTATGTGTATTTTTATGACTCACTTATTCATAATATAAATATGCAAAATGTTTAAAAAAATATATTCTTTGTTGAAAAACATTTGATACGTAGTTGAAATGTAAATAACCGGCATGAAATGCATAATAAAATTGCTTATAATGATACAAACCTACCAGATATATCACATAACTAAATTGTTTTCCAGAGCCAAAATCCAGCTTACCACAGAATTAGGATGGGAGGTTGACAATTTGTACGGAGTACTTCCTTTACAAACAGAATTTCATAAACTAATCTTTTCTCTAAACAAATGTTCAGACAGCTCAAATTCCTGAGCTTTATTGTGTTTCTTCTATTGAATACCATATGCCTTAATATTTACCACACCCAAACATTGCACACTGTGTTCATGAATTAACTTTCTTAAGCTAGAAGAAAATCAAGTCTGAAAATGGAATTTAACTAAATTTGATTCAATATCACTCTTGTTACATGTTTGATATTACAGTATTTACATGAACTAGATATACTTTTTTATGTTGGACTTTGGTAGACAGTTAAAATGCAATCAAGACAAGTAAAAACAACTTCAATTTATGTAAATTCATACATGCAATCAAATTACATGAATTTAAGAAACATTTTAAAGTTAGTGCTTGGGGGGGGAGTAAAACAGATTGAAAAGTATAAGTTAATTTACATGAACCTAGTACTTTTTCAAAAGTACTATAAAGTGGATTTTTTTCACAAATTTAACATATGTCATTTTTTAAATTTCCTCAATATTTTTAATTAACATATATTCAACAATCCTAACAAAATATTAGCTATCAGAACTAGCATACAATCTAAGAAGATGCGTTAAAATAGACGACGTTAATTCTATGTATCAGCTCTGCTGTTAATTAGAAAGTGAGATCCTCAGGTAATGGTAAAGAAGAACAAAATATCAGCTGTAGGAGTTCTTTGGTAGAGTTTTTGGGGTCGCTTATGTACACTATCATATCGTCTGCAAATAACGAAAGTTTCACTTCATCCTTTCCAATTCAAATCCCCTTGATCCTCTTATGTTGTCTTATTGCTATTGCTAGAACTTCAAGCACTATATTGAAGAGGTATGGAGAGAGTGGACAGCCTTGTCATGTTCCTGATTTTAGTGGAAAGGCTTTGAGTTTCTCTCCATTCAATTTGATGTTAGCTGTCGGCTTGCTGTATATTGCTTTTATTATATTTAGGTATGATCCTTGTATCCCCAGTCTCTCCAACACCTTTATCATAAAAGGGTGTTGAATTTTGTCAAACGCTTTTTCAGCATCCAATGAAATGATCATATGATTTTTTTCTTTCCGTTTATTTATATGATGGATTACATTGATAGATTTGCGTATGTTGAACCATCCCTGCATCTCTGGGATGAAGCCTACTTGATCATAATGGATGATTTTTCTAATGTGTTCTTGGATTCGGTTTGCCAGTATTTTATTGAGAATTTTCGCATCGATGTTCATGAGTGAGATTGGCCTGTAATTCTCTTTCTTGGTTGTGTCTTTGTGTGGTTTTGGTATTAGGGTGACTGTAGTTTCATAAAAGGAGTTTGGCAGTGACTTTTCTTTTTCTATATTGTGGAATACATTAAGGAGTATAGGTATTAGCTCTTCCTAGAAGTTCTGGTAGAATTCTGCATTGAAACCATCTGGTCCTGGGCTTTTTTTGGTAGGGAGATTTTTGATAACAGCTTCTAGTTCTTCACGACTAACAGGTCTATTTAGATGGCTGGCCTGCAGTCTTTCCGAGAAGCCATTGACAATGACACTGGGACTGGTTTCCTCTGCATATACTGGATTTTTGGGATCCAGTCTGTTTGGATGCTCACCTTCCTGGACCTGGAGTGAGGGGGGAGGAACTTGGACTTCCCACAGGGCAGGAGACCCTGACTTCCCTTGGG